ATTTGGATCACAAGTGTGATACACAAATGTGAAAATTTTCTGACCGTTTTGGATCTTTTAATTTTGATCACAAATGTGGGAATCTTTAGACCCTTTTGGATCTATTAAATTCAATTTCAAATGTGGGAATGTTCTGATCGTGTTGGCTCTTATATCTTGAATTGCATATGTAATATGCAAATGTGGAAATGTTTTGACCGTTTTGGAATATCTAACTTAGATCACAAGTGTGTGAATGTTCTGACCGTTTTGGATTAGTTAACTTAGAGCACAAATGTGGGAATCTTTGAAACGTTTTGGATCCATTAAATTTGATTACAAATGTGGCATTGTTTTGGATCCTTTAATTGAGATGACAAATGTGGGAATATTCGAACTATTTTGGATTTTTTAAATTTGATTACAAATGTGGGAATGTTTTAATCATTTTGAAATTTTTAACTTGGCTCACAAATATGATATACAAATTATGAAATGTTTTGATCAATTTGGATCCTTTAACTGGGATCACAAATGTGACAATATTTGCACTTTTTTTGATCCTTTAAATTCAATTGCGAATATGGAAATCTTTTGACCATTTCGAATCCTTTACCTTGGATCACAATTGTGGGAATATTCGGACCATTTTGGATCATTTAAATTCGATATCAAATTCAAGAATGTTTTGAACATTTTGGAACCTTTAACTTGGATTACAAACGGGATATACAAATGTGGGAATGTTTTGATCGTGTTGGATCCTTTAAATTTGATCTTAAATGTGGGAATATTCGGACCGTTTTGGATAATTTAAATTCAATTACAAATAAGGGAATGTTTTGACCCTTTTGGATCTTTTAACTTGGATCACAATTGCGAGACTATTCGAACAATTTTGAATAATTTAAATTTGATTACAAATGTGGGAATGTTCTGATCATTTTGGCTCCTATAATTGGAATCACATATGTGATATGCAATGTGAAAATATTCTGATCATTTTGGATCATTTAACTTAGATCACAAATGTGAGATTGCTTTGATCATTTTGGATAATTTAACTTATGTAACAAATGTGGAATCTTTGGACTGTTTTGGATTCATTAAATTCGATTACAAATGTGGAATTGTTTTGATCATCTTGGATTCTTTAATTTGGATCACAAATGTGTAAATATTCAGACCATTTTGGATCTTTTAAAGTCAATAACAAAGGTGAGAATGTTTTAACTGTTTTAGGTCCTATAACTTATATTGCAAATGTGGTATACAAATGTGGGAATGTTCTGATTGTTTTAAATCCTTTAACTTAGATCACAAATGTGAAATTTTTTGACTATTTTGGATCTTTTAAATTCGATTGCAAATGTGAGAATGTTTTGACTATTTGGGATCCTTCAACCTAGATTTTGATTGCTCCTATATTGAGAATGTTCTGACCATTTTGAATTAGTTAACTTAGGACAAAATGAATTTAAGTTGGCTACTTGTCATATCTGTGTTGCTTGTAGCACTTGTACATACACATATTTGGCAAATTTCTCTTGTATGCGCACTTACAAAGCTTGATACCTACTGTATGATGTGTTGTTTATTTTGATAGCTCTTATACAAATGTGAGCATGTTCTGACCGTTTTGGATCCTTTAACTTGGATCACAAATGTGACAATATTCAGATTGTTTTGGATCCTTTAAATTTAGTTACAAATGTTGGAATGTTTTGACTATTTTAGATCATTTAACTTATATGTTGAAGGCTCTTAGAATAGAAATGTTTTTATTGTTTTTGATCCTTTAATATGGATTACAAATGTGAGAATTTTTTGATCGTTTAGGATCCTCAAACTTGGAAAACAAATGGGCAAAATTTTGACCATTTTGGATTCATGATCTTTGAATACGAAATGGGAAGTTATGACCGTTGCTAATGTGGAAAATTGTAATGGTTTTGGGTTCTTAAACTTAGAATAGAAAGCTACTTTGTGATTTGGTACAATTGTATATTTGGCTTTCTAGATAAATGACCCTGCATCATTATACTTATTTTGAATGTTCTTGTGGAAAATGCCCTATTGCTGCTTGTGTTGCTTGACGGCTCATATGCAAATGTGTGAATGTTTTGACTGATTTGGATACTTTAACTTGGATTAAAAGTGTGGGAAAATTGTGACCTATATAAATGTGGAAACTTATGACCCTTTTGGATTTTTAAACCTGGAATTTATGTGGGAAAATTGTGACTTGTTCAAATATGGCTAAATTGACTATTTTGGATCTTAAAACTTGAAATGCATATATGGGAAAGTTTTGATCTATACAAATGTGAAAAATTATCACTATTTTAGATTCTTGAACTTAGAATTGAAAATTGCCTTGTAATTTGTTACCATCATATATTTGGCCTTCTTGACAAATGACCCATGCATTAATTGATACTTGATTTGAAGGTAACAAAATTGCTTGTTTATTTTGTTTATTGAGATCTCTTACCAGTAATTATCTTATTGATGTTTAAACAGCATTTAGGGAATGGCTTATCCTATTCTCGAATGGTTCTTTGGTTCATAGATTAGACTAGAAGTGAGTTTTGTATAATTTTGGTAACATGTTGCTACTTTTGAGTTTTTGATTATATATGATTCTTCTTATGTTCCTATTATGTTTAGCCACAAATATACATCAGTCACTTATTGAGGAATCTTTAATTATAACAATGGTAAGATTTTGCTCACTTTTTTCTTTTGTTGTCTTTTTCCACCAATAAACTTAATTTTGATCTAAATTGAAGGTGTATGACAATGGTAAGATCGATGCCTTTTTGGAGTGGCTTGCCATTAGCCCTGGCACAATCATCACAATGACTCCATCGTGCACAGTCTTTACTGCGATTGGTTGTGTGATTTCCTTGCATCTCAGCCCTCTATCTACCTTTTCTTTACATATTTATTTATGGTTATTAGTCTGCTAGCTCCTCAAGGACTTTAGTTATGTTTATGAACTAGGGATTTGGGCTTTTGAATTTGAGAAGTTGAAAGAAGGTAGAGGATAATGATGAAGAACTGAGAATGATGAAGTGACTCATAGCTTTCTATGAGGAGCATCTTAATGTCGTTTAAGCAGGTATTTTCTTTACATCTAACAAATACTTCAGACATCTATTTCCCATTTGCATCAACTTTACAATTTATTGTTTGAATTAGGTAATAAGATATCATTAAGACATTTACATTATTGTGGAATGAAAGTTGAACATTTTATGATCAAGATATTATTTCATTTTTAGTTTTCTGTGATTGTAAACTGTTGTATAATAAAAAAAAAGCTATTAGTATCCCTCGTCTTCATGCTTTTGAGAGATTCAACCCCAAGTCATTGCTCTTCATGTTGACCAATGTTTCTTTATCAACTTTATAATCAATCACTATAAATAATGCGTGACTTAGCTGTTGCATCCCTTCTTTTTTAATAGAGATATGGTGGGAAGAGGCATGTTGGAAGGTGACTCTTACTGCTTATTTCTAATAAGGAAATCAACAACTAGCCGCTATGTGTAACATTTGGGAAAATTTAATCTTGATTTATTAACCTAATGAGGGTGATAAGTGAATTAATAAGGTGTGCGGCCAGAGGGGTTCAATTGGTGCAATTATTGTGGCAATTTTAGCCCTAGAAGTGGATACGGATCTATGGTGGGCCACTCGGATGAGGAAGAGGAAGAAAAAGTGAAGAAGATTTATTTTTGGTGCCACAAGTCACGATGCGTGGTCAGTCTGCCGCGGTGCAGAGGCAGATTTGAATGCAATGGCCTCCTTTGTGGCACGCGCTATGGCAGACGGCAATGTGCTCCGCAACGCACGGCCAAAAATATGATATATCAGATTCATATTAGCGCGAGAAAAACAGAAAGAGGAAGAGAAAAATAAAGGAGCTCGACTTTGGCTCTACTAGGGCTTATTATTGGAGCATATTGGTGATAGATTGAAACTTTCAAATACCCAAGGTAAGTAATCTAAGCCTTATTCTTCCTCTCTCCCTCATTTACGATGATTTATGGTTGGGTTTGAGTTGAAAGGTTTGAAATTCGGTTCACAGGGGTATGGGTCAATTTCATTAGTTAAAAATGAGTAATGGGAGTGGTTTGTAATAGATAAACCCTACATTGATGGTTTTATTAAGCGTTTGTTGGGTAGAGCCATTAATACCCGAAAATCCACATAAATGTGGTAGTTAAGAGAGGTTTATGTCCATTAATAACGGTTTGAAGTGTTATTAATGATAATGTGTACTAATGAAATCTAATGAATCCATTGGATATGAATGGGTAGAGATTTATGGGATGGATAGAATAGAGAAAAAGTGGAATCAATGTTGATAATTCCCTAAGAGTGGGATTGTGATAATATTCTTGCTTATGATTGTAGTGTGAATCATTTTGGCACCATTTGAGCTTGTTGTTGAAGCTTTGGAAGTTGTTATTGTGAGCGGTAAACCTTTGATTTCTCAAAGGTTCAGGCAACTGGAGGAAATTTAATCTTTATAGTTGAATATTAATTGTGTTGTGAAATGTAATTTATGATTTAAATTATGATGCATGGTAATGTGTTTGACTTGCGAAATGGTTTAAAAAAAAAAACCTTGATTATGCCACCTACTTGTGATTTATAAATTTAGTTGTGGCATGTTGATGTGAAAGCAAATAATTGTGTGTTGTGTAATGTGTTGATGATGTGGAGTATATCAGTGAGTATGTTGGAATATTTGTCATGAATGAATCCTT